TGTATAATTTCTTTCCATGGAACTATTTTTATGTTGTACTTGCTCGTGATGGATAATTACATCACTTCTAACCGTTTCCCCCCTTGGTTGGCAAGCTTTTAGCTTCAAGCTTTACTGGAATTTTATATGAAGGTACTTCCTCCATTTTGTGTATCAGGGAACAGGGAAGGGAAGATTTTTGTTTGGGATTGCAGTCAAGCCCTCCTGTTCTTGTTGCGAGGTTTGTTTCAATTCATTCAATTGGCTTAATTACTGAATCTTATTATAGATTACTCCTTCCGCTCCAAAATGTAAACAATTTTTAAGAAAAATTCACATACCAATAAAGTCCTTATTCTCATAAAAATATATATTGTTTTCTTTTTTTACCCTTAATTTCAATTACTAATGCATTTCATGACAAGTGAAAGATAACTTTACACAAAAATTTAGGTTAATAAATACAATGAGTAAAATGAAAAAAAAAAATTACATGTATTAAGTTGTATGTATTTTGAATCAAGATTAGAAAAGGAAATGCTTACATTTTGGATCAGAGGGAGTATATTTGAATTGGAAAGTAGAACCTTTATAGAAGTGGTCAATGGTTAGAATCTTTTTACACATCACCGTCTAAAATTAAGTTTCAACACGAGTTGTGAGACGATGCTTTTTGCACAAGCCAAAACGACTTTCAAATGAGGGGACGTGTGATCATAATAAAACCGTTCACAGGCCTTACTTAACAGTTTAAGTTTTAAATTGCCTTCTTCCTTGATAAATCTTCTTAACAAAATTTATTTTGTTTCACTTCCTTTTAGGTTGTCTCATGCTCAATCAAAATCGCCTATTAGACAAACTGCTATGTCTTATGACGGAAGGTAAACTTTCACACACACGCACATTGACACGATTTTTGTTCAATATTCGTTGACAGACACCCACATACTCAAAATTTTGGTTCGATAGTTCCATTTTTAATCGAAAAGCCATCCTGTTATGCTGTAGCACTATTTTGAGCTGCTGTGAGGACGGGACCATATGGCGTTGGGATGCTGTTACGAATTCCATAACCTAGCTGGTTTTTATGCGATTCGATCTTGTGAGCTCCGAAAGAGCTCCAATTTGAAGATTTGTTATAACTAGTCATCGACAAGAGGAACATGGTTTACTTTTGCATAGATTAATGCTTGTTTAGTTTTATGTCAGATTGCAAAACTGATTGAGTTTATGGTGTAACCTAACCTGTGACTTGAGTGATATCAGGATAGAGTCAGATGGTTACCGGGATGTTGGCATCATGTTAAACATGTCTCTACATACCTCCTTGTTAATATTGATCACCAATGGATGGAGCAGCAGATTGCATATGGAAAAATTGAATCAATGTATTTTGCCGTTATGTTTGGACCTTAATTATTTCAAATCTCAATCATCCTTTTTAAGTCTTGTCCTTTACTCCTCCTGTCCCATCTTTTTCTTCTTTTGTCTTTGCCTCATTCTCTCTGTTAAATTGTTACACAAGTTTCTTCTTATTGGATGTAATCTTGTTCGTAGCACAATTAAGTATTAAATATGAGTATCTCTTGGTGAAAATTCAAACTTTAATTCTTCAAGTTGAGAGACTAATTCTTTTAGTTAGATTCAAATCTCGTTAAGTGTTTGAGGGGTATTTTTAATCATGCTATTATAGCATGAGAAATATTGAGGAGTACCTTTCAGTTAGATTTCAATTTTGAAGAGAAATATTTTTGTGACAGTGAAAGGAGAGAAATATTGTTGACTTGCATTGATGTAGAAAATATAGGGAGTTCCAAATCATTAAAGTGATTCCCATGTAGGATAAAATAGTTCATGATTTTAAAATCATTTTTTCCTCATTTTTGAATTTCTAACAATGAATTTTAAGGCAATAATTTGGAATGTGCTACAAGAAGACTTCTCTTTTATAGGAACACCTGTTTGGTGTAAAAATGAGATATATATCTATTACACAACAACAACAACAACAACCACCATGTGTTCTTTCTTTCCTTCTTTTCTTTTCCGCCCGGGAGGGGGGCACGGGGAGGGGCAGCTTTAACCATGATGCGTTCTAAATAATCTTTAATGAGGTCATAGCGCCCTCCATAAAAAATCCCTAGCTGCTATTTTTGTCCGAAACAAATATTTCCTCTATTTGGTTTCAAGATTTGACGGTTACATCATGAGAAGTAGAACACTTCAAATTTAGGACAACGTTGTTGTGTGGCCTTCGCCCCGAATATTGTCACAAGATTAAAATCTCATTGTGACTGCTCATGACAAAAAATCTAGAATGTTATGTAATTCGACAGTGCCAAAATAAAAGGGAACAACAGTCCAAAACTTAATATCACAAATTCCTCCATCCTACGATGCTTAGTTAACAAAATTTTTATGTTACACTGATGACGAACTTAATCTCAGCCTAACTTGCACAACACTCAGCATGGACTCGTATGCTATATACAAAAGAATTATAACCTATGAAAATGGAATGATTGTCCTAAAGTTGATTCCGCAACTGCACCAATAGATTCTGCATAGTCTCAATCTTTTGACGGACTTCGTTCACAACAAGAAGGTGCTGAGTGGAAGTCTCTGAAAGCTTCAGCAATTAAAGCATTAAGTTTCGCCTGTGAATCCATGACTGCTTCCTCCAGCAAATTTAATGTTCGTTTCTTTGATCTGTGTGGACTTTCACCGATGAGGGTTGATGGAGATTGGGCGCTACCATCTCTCTGGAGCTTTCACGAGAGAAAATCTTGTCAATGCCTTCAGTTCCTGCAAGTCATCACATTAAAGATGGACAGAAGAAACAAGCCAAAGTGAAACAAAATGTTCATCGGAACTTAGAGAGTAAGAATTTGTTCCTAAAAAACAATAATTATATATTAATGTTTGACAGCATACCTAGGTTGCTTAATTGATCCATTGCAGACTGGCCAACAGAACCTTCCAACTTAAGGAGCCGTAGAATCCCAGCTGTTATCCGGCCCATTGAGTCAATTTCAGATTTGCACAGAAAAGCAAGGTGCTGAAACTCATCCTTCGTTACGACCACCTCAATCTGCATTACAAATTCTTTATCAAACAAAATCTCAATTGGGGGCACAAAAAAACAGGGACACAGTGGCCATGTACTTGAAATATCACAATCCTATTACCGGTTGGTGAACAGAGAATTTTACGTTTTCCACTTTCCAGTTAGTCATTTCATCATCAACATTGTCCTCACATAGTACCAAGCGAACTTCAAGACCAGCTCCCCCAACTGTGTCGGAGGGCTGTTTAATCCCATTGGCAATTAACATGGACGAGGGAATGTCCTTTCTTGTATGGGGCTTGAAGATCTCCAGTCCTTGAACTCTAACCTGCAAGCTCAGTCACAATAAGCACACGGTTGGACCAAGTATGCCTTAATGACAAAAATGAATTTAAAAAAGAAGCTTAAATCAATCAACAGTAAGGCAAAAGTATGTCACCAGAATAACCCATATTTACTTTCCGTTGCCTAGCATAAGATGCAGTGTTTTGTTCAATATACATTTTTGTTATAATTAGTAATTTGATCAGTCCTAAATCTTCATATAATCTTTTTGGGATGAAATGATTCTAGGGATTGAGATTGTATCGGAGCTTTTATAACCAAGTGGTCAAGGTTCCTCGCTGCCTTCATTCTCTTAAGAGCATATACATTTGGGTTGAGGTGATACTAGATTAATATGTACAGACATCAGGATATATACATTAACTCAAAAGGGAAGCATTTCAGCCTCATGCTAGGCTGTGGAATGCACAACCAACATGATAGAACACGTTCAAATTAAAATAAAAAAGCTGACCAGACTACAAGAGTAACTTAGACTGATCCTCTTTTATATCTTGCCCAAAGATCCTCATCAAAAGAAGGACATCATAAAACCAAGACAGGTGCTAATCACAAAGGGCAAAACCTATTTGAGGATATGAAATAAATGCTTGACCATTTAATTCTTTCATATTGGACAATGTCTGGCAAAGATGATATAATGTTGCGGTGTATGCAAATCTCACCATATATAATAGCCAACTTGTAAATCCAAGAAAAAGAAAAAGAGATTTCATAATAACTAAAGAGGAAAAAGAAACCGAATGGATTAAGCGGAGCAAGACAGGAGAATTTCAAAGGGGCAAAAAATAAAAAGAAAAAGAACTAAAATAAGACAACATAGAAAACTATTCAACTTCAACCATGTAACCCTATGACATTTTATGAAGAGCTTATGCCACAGTCAGAACAAAAGATGTGGACCTTTTGGCAGAAAGTTTGATACCTCTGACAATGAATTATTTTAGTTCAAGTAATTAGAGAATCAAAATTTATGTGATAGATATAATGATTCTTTTTGTTCTAATTTTAGTAAAACTGTGTGATTATCTTCATTTCATTCAAAAACTGTGTGATTTCCTAATGCTTATCTTCATTTCAATCTTCTAGCTCCTCAATTTTAAGTGTTCAACTTCAACCAATATGAGACACTAAAGTATACTATAATCTAACTTCATTCCTGAAAGCAGTATGGGGAATCCATAACCCCAATCCGGAGCAGAAAGAACTTTTCCCTTACCGTAATCAGCTGTACTGGAAATTGTTGCATTCCTTTCAATTGAGTTTTTCCATTAGAAACATCCTTTGGGCTGCTTTTTGCATGTACTCGTAGACTGTTGAAAGTAGTGTGCCAACACCTCTCCACTCTGCCTACATCTTCATGGCCGGAGAACCACCAACTTTCAGCCATCTCTTGAGCCCCTTCAAGAGCGAATAACCAATCTCTCAATTCTACAGCAACATCCACATCATCTGGCTTCTTCAACTGTAAAAAGTTGGATTCTTTCCCTTCAATAGCACTTCCATCTGGAGAAAACCAAAGTAATAATGAGAAGAAAATTACAAGTAAAAGAAACAAATAAATATTTAATGAAGATGAACAGGGAAAAAAACTATTATGTACCAAGTAAACACAACCAACTACAAATTCAGCAGTGTTTCATACCATCTCCTGAATTATCAATGACCAGAGGTGCTGTCTTAAAGAGTTTTGACAATGGTCCTGATTGTAAGTTCTCTAGTCCTTTGCAAAGTCCCAATCCCGGGCTACCATCAGGTGCAAGTATCCCAAAGCGATGCAGCAGGGCTTCTGTATAATTCATTCCTCCCCCAAGGCGAACACCAGAAATAGAAGCAGAGACATTCAAGCTATGAGACTCCATGTCTTGTTCATTTAATGGAATGACATGCTCCATGCGTATATCCAGAAAAGGAAATGAGAGAGAATTTCCATTTGATAGATTGTTCCTATTGTTATTAATCCAAAATACAGCTCTTAATTGAGGATATCCGTTACCACTCATTGGGGGAATACTCTCAACAAAATTCAAAATTGAGCCGTTTTCATGTGCCAGGTGAGGTTCGGCATCTGCACAATCGATCTTAACACTCTGCCAACGTAAAGCAGATGAAACAACAACAGCACCACCAAGGGTTCTATGAGTGGCACTAATGAACAGATCATCTCCAACAAACTGCACAAGAGGCATTTCCTCAACATTCATTAAAGAAGACCCAGAAATCGAAGTTGGAGGTCTTTCACTGCTAAACTTACAGCAGTATCACTGGGAACCTTGTCCATAAACTTTCTACTAGAAGATTTGTCAGTAAGCTTTCTACTAGAATATTTCTCCCTGGCATCCATCAGTCGTTTACTTTTCCCAGCTTTTGCAATTTTCTCACCAACGCTCCCAAAATAAGCATAGAGATAAAGAACAAAATATAGCTGTTCAACAGAAGTGTTGGATAAAAATTGTTCACATGCAACTCCAACCCTTACAATACCCCCTGGTGGAGGAACTTCTAACAATGGAGTGCCATCAGCCATTGCCATAGCTACTTCAATGCAAGCATCTTTCAGTTCAACACATCTCCATAATCCTGCACTCCATCCAAGAGAATTCTGAGACCCAGTTTCTCCTTTACATGTTTCAAGAGACAAAGAAAGATGTGATGCTCTAGCAGTCCACTTCTTGATGCTAGCATCAATTGGTTGATCTTCCCAAAGACAGAAACAAGCAGGATCCTTCTCCAGGTTCAGCATTCTTAGTTTCAAAGAGGGTGAATCTGAAAACAAAAGGCTTTCAATATGAAGCCTTGCTCCAGAAAAGAAGCTCGGGACTGAACTCTCCAAGTTGCTTTCAGGAATATTTATTTTGGTCTCGTCCAAAGGAATTGTAAGATCTAGTCCCTTAAGTGTGAAAATGAGAGAATTTACTGAGAAATCTGGCAAAACATCACCAGGATTGACAACAATGCCATCAGCTAAGAAAGAAAAAATCCTCAAGCAGGATTCTTCTTGGAGATGAATCTGAAAAGTATAAAAAGATCATC